CCCCCCCCCACGAGGTGGTGAAATGGGCGTCTCTGAGCTGTGAGGTGTAGACATGCTTTAGGTAGCTGCTGTCAAGAGAGACCAGGGGTCCTTAGCCAGAGTCCCCCTGTGCTTAGGCCACACAGTGAAGCCCCGGGCGATCAGATGGTGAATGAAGCAGCCCCCAGCCCACCCCCTGCCCACACCCACGCACACTGGGAACAGGATGAAGAGGCTGCTCTGTGGTTGGACGGGTGCTGGAATAGAGGCCTGGACTGAGGGACCGGGAAGGGGTGAGGAGTGACATTTGAGTTGAGCCTTGAAGGATGGGGTGCTGGTGGAAAGGGCAGAGTCGGCGTGGAGTTGAAGCCAGGAGCTGAAGGGCCTGGCCCACCCCGAAGGGCAGGCAGCTGGGGCTCTCAGGCAGGCTGCAGAGTGAGTGGCAGGCGGGGTGGGGAGTAAACCGATAGAAACTGCTGCGGGCCAGGTCGTAAAGGGCACACTCCAGACTAAGAAGTTGACGCTTGATACTGTGGATGGGGATGGGGCAAAGAATGTGTTCAGAATGGAGCGTTTAAGCAGGAAAGGGACGCAGTTGGCTGTTTTTTAGAGCAGACTGGGGGCGGCTTCGAGTGCAGCAGGGGTGAGGGAGTCTGGCAGCAGGAACGAGGAGAATCGCTGCTGTGGGGATTTGGGAAGAGCTCCTTTGGCCTGAATTCCCATAAACGGCCTGAAAATGGAGGACAGGGTAATTTCAGAGAAAAGAACCCTTCTGGCCACCAACCAGATGTGCATCTCACTGGGCCACGAAGAACCTGAACCAAGTGATCCCCAGACATCAGGGCTGGAGACTCCTGCCTTCCAGCCCTGATGCCTTGTGATGTCCTCAGGCCGCTGCCTCTAAGGGCCTCTCCTGTGAGGATCTGAATCTTCTAGAGCTGCTGCCACTCGGAGCTAGCTCTTTATTCTTTCCTTTACAAAGCAGTTTATCCATTCCTCAAATAAAAACTAATAGATTCCAGCTGTTGGAATAAAGTTGTGGTCCAGCCCATGGCGGAACGATAGGTTTTCTGACCTGAAAGGCCGCCAGTGGAGACGGGAGTTGGTGTCATTCTCACCCCAAGTGAACTTGTGCCAGGAACAGCCCGTACTGTGTGGGTGCCCTTTGAAGGGATGGGGTTTGTTCCGATACCCTGAGACTGCTCATACAAACTTCAGGATCCAGTGAAGGTGAAACTTGTGTTTTAGAATTTTTTTTTTTTTTTTTGGCAGGGACCTGAATTACTTAAAAGTAAACTTTAAAAAAAAGGGGGGGGTAGTGCATGGAAAATTACTGTCATCTAGGCTGAAAAACTTGACCTCCCTAGAAGGGAGACATCCTTGCCCCTGTTTTCTTCATGGCTTTGCAGTGATGACACAGAGAGGGGGTTCTAGGTGTGGCAGAAATGGCAGGAGGGGCCTGACCACCAAGGAGGGCTGCACATGTCAGTTCCCTTCTTTCCCAAAGGAATCGGAGGCTCCCCTTTCCAGAGAGCGGATGCCACAGAGGGGCCAGCCTCTTAGATCTCAGTAGATGGCTCACCTGCAGAGATGTCAGACTTTGTTCTTAAGATGTCACTCTGTGCTCCTAGAGAATTAGAGCAAGAGTGTGTGGCAGTCTTTTGATTCCTAAATTCAACTACAGATGTTCATTTGACTCTTAGCTCCAACTAATGTTCATTTGGGTTTGGTTTTGTTTTAATTGAGAAGCAGAAAAGGCTATTTTCATGGCACAGAGAGGCTGAGGTGGACTTGATATAAAGCTGTGTATTCCCACATGCCTGTGAAAGCAGAGGGCGGTGTGTAGCCCTCTCTTCTCTCGTTAGACTTAGATATTTTTCTACATCACCTTTTGGCAGCTTTCCCATCTGCTATCCCACGCCTTTCCCATCACTATAATCAGAAAGTGAGAAGTTCTGTGACCTATATTTGTGGAATATGTTGCTATTCAACATCTGTTAAAGTCCTGCTCTCCAACTGTATTCTTAAAGTATTTTATTCCTAAAATCTTGTCTTATGGAATATATCCAGAACTAAGTATTTAAACTTTTATAAGACAAGGCATTGGTGATAAAAAAAAAAAAATTCCCATTTTAAAATGCCTTTAAAAGTCTAATGGCCAGGTCTGGATCGAGCAGAAATGTGTAAAGGTTGCCTTAGAGGAGTGCAGTCTCTGATCTGGATTTGCTCGGTGGTTGTGTTGCCGAATTACTAATAGAAAGGCTCTGATGGTGCTGGACTATAAGTCATTTTTTTCTGTTCTCTTTCCCACTTTGCAGAGGTCCAAGCAGTTCTGCTGACAGACATTTTAGTTTTCCTTCAAGAAAAAGACCAGAAGTACATCTTTGCGTCATTGGTAAGCCGAATTGTTACTTTCTTCTGTTTGTAATTAATAATGGTATTCAGAACAGTTAGGGATATTGAGTGTAAATTAAACACTGTATTGTTGGTCTCCCACCCTTTTAAAATTAATTGGCTCAGAGCATATGCGTCTGAATAACTGCTTATATACCCTTACAGTTTTCTGTCTCTCTCCCCTGCCGCCCCAATATTGTTTTTCTGTTTTCTTACAATTTTTTTGGGAGCCTTGGACATTTGAGCACTGGAGTATTTCTCACATATCCCATAAATCATGCTCATGTATGATACTGCCAGTCAGATTCTGTGAGGAGCGTGGAAGGATTCGTCATGTAGAAAATCTAGTATGACTAGAACCTTCATAGCCATAGATAGTCATTCCCTTTATGGAACTCTTTTTCTGTTTGATAAAATGTAAGTGAAGTAATGAGATATTTCTCTTTATCCTAAGTCTGCTGTTGTTTGTTAAACCATGTGCTTTGAAAAGGCATCTGGTCTTACCCGACATGGAAGTTGTCCTTAAGAGCTAGAATATTGTGTACTTATATCTGCCCTCTCTGCCTTTTCCAGGAGCAGAAATCAACGGTGATCTCTTTAAAGAAGCTGATTGTAAGGGAAGTAGCACATGAGGAGAAAGGTTTATTCCTGATCAGCATGGGGATGAAAGACCCCGAGATGGTGGAAGTGCATGCCAACTCCAAAGAGGAGCGGAACAGCTGGATTCAGATCATCCAGGACACAATCAACACCCTGTAAGCCCACCGCGGCCCATCCCGGCCTCCTCGTGCCTCTGTTATTTCAGAATAGCCTGGGAAGTCCCCAGAGTAATCAGTATCTTAGGAGTTTTTTGTTTCGTTTCGTTTTGATTGGATTAGGAACAGAGATGAAGATGAAGGAATTCCTAGTGAGAGTGAGGAAGAAAAGAGAATGTTGGACACCAAGGCCCGGGAACTGAAAGGTAAAGCTATTAGAAGTGGTCTGGGACCCTGGTCTTTGGGGTGTCTACTGTCGCTTTCTTCCGGAGCCTGGGTTCCAGGCCTGCCCTGGCAGGCACTTGAGAATGGGGACAAATAGCTTTTAACAAAAGAGAAACCAAAGTTGAGCTGACATGGTCCTGATACAAAGCAGTTATAAGAGTGTATCCAACCCTAGATCAAAGGAATGTTGATTCTCTTGTCTCAGTGTCAGTGTTCTTGGACCCTTTGTCACAGAAGAATTGCAAAAATCAAGGTCACAAACAAGAAGGAAAGGTACCTGAGGAAAATAATTTTCCAGTTAATCTATTCTTATTAGTTGCCCTGGCTGCTGGGCTGTATGATCACAAATGAGTTGTGAGGTGGTTTGGGGAGAAGTGTGCCTATTGATTATGCTTGACCTCTATTAAGTCCCTACTGTTTTGTGTGGTCTTGTCAATATCCCTGCAAGACTGGGATTCTCATGCCCGTTGTGCAAATGAGAAAGCCAAGGCGCACTAAGGCCGAGCAAACCAGGGCCCATCCATAGTTTATGGCGGAGCCAGGATTTTGCCCCCAGTCTTCTGGACAGCAGAGCCTAGTGCTCGTCTCTCTTTGTTGGTGCTTATTTGTTCTGGAGTAAAGCCTGCTTTGGGTAGAGTCAAATGAATGTAAGCATCCAAGTTAGTCCTTCAAGCTGGACCAAGTGATAACACTCGATATCTCAGTGAGGGTGGGGAGAGGAACAGATTTAGACTGGAGTCTGAGCTGCATCAGATTTACCGACCCGTGGTGAGGATGGCGGGGATAACTTCCTCCTTTTCACGTGTATTAAGCACCTGGCCACCCGTGCTGCCGGGTGCTAGGGACGCAAAGATTCCTAAACCAGAGTCCCTGGGTGGGGAAGCTCACACTTCCGCAAGGGGGACACACATGAATGACAGGCCACCAAGAGGATCACTAGGCCAGAGGCACATGTAACATGTATGGGACCTACTAGTCTTGCCTGTGGTAAGCCTCACAGAGAAGATGACACATGAGTTACATCTAAAAAAATTACTTCACCAGACAAGACAAATAGGTGAAATGTGGAAAAGGCCTTGACATATCTGCCAAGGAATGACAGGTTTAGTCTTTCTGGAGGGTCAGGCCTAAGTGATGAGAGATTAAGGCACCAGGTCTTAAAAAGCAACAGGGGAATGATACAATGTTTTTAACAAAATTTAGACTTAAATTTTTAAATTGGTATTGAAGCCAATTGGGAGACTTGCTTGAGGGGATGGGGGAGCCTCTGGCTGTGGCAAGACCAATTGGGAGACTTGGGATAGGTTCAGGGAGAGGTGGGCTGGAGAGGGATGGATGTAAGAAGTGAGGGACTGATGTGAAAGAGAGAGAGAGAACAGGTGAAATCTCTCCCAGGCCTCCAGCTTGGGTAAGCTAGAGGCTGATGTGTTGGCTGAGGAAGGGGTCGCAGGCTAAAGGGAGGAGGTGGCGCGGCAAGAATGAGACCAGGTTTCTGACATGCTGAGAGCAGGCGTCTAAGTGTAGATCGCCCCTTGACAGTGGGACTCATTTGCCTGGTGCTCAAAAAAGAGGGTCGTATACGGGATGCTTTTTGTGGATCATGAGCACCCAGGAAGTCTTTGAAGCCACGGGAGTGAGAGACCCCAAGAGGGAAGTATGTAAGGGGCAGACAGCAGCCCAGGATAGAGCCAAGGGGACCCCAAATATTCCATTGCAGATGATGGACTGTTCCTGAGAAAGGATTTTAGGAAAAGAACCACTGGTGTCCTGAAAGGATGTTGGAAAGCAGTTTAAAGAGGATGGAGGAATCATCTGTGCTGGAAAGGGTGACATAAAAGACCTCCTTAGAGACAGTAATGAAGGGTGACCTTGGAAAGAGGAGATGGTGTGATGGGCCAAAGCCAGAGAAGAGGGTTGAGAAACAAGCTCGAAGTAGGGGAGTGGAGACGGAGTGCTCGCTTGTGATGTCAGAAATTCCAGAGTTTGCCTGGAAAGACTAGGGTGGGTACTAGGTAGAAATTACAGAAGGAAGACGGAAGGGGTTGGCGAGGGGGCCAGACGGGAAAGCTGTGCTCTTTGCCGTCCCACAAATAGCCACAGGGTGGCGCGCGTGGCCATAATCATACCGAGCAGTCACATGCCCGGCCCTTTTCTCCATCACCCTGCAGAACAACTTCAACAAAAGGACCAACAGATCCTGCTCTTGCTGGAAGAGAAGGAGATGATTTTCCGGGACATGACTGAGTGCAGCACCCCCTTGCCAGAGGAATGCTCCCCAACTCACAGCCCTAGAGCCCTTTTCCGCTCCAACACAGAAGAGGCTGTCAAAGGAGGCCCTTTGATGAAAAGTGCAATAAATGAGGGTAATTTACATTCAGTGTTGCCCCTTCTCTTTCCCCCAATGTGGTTTATACAGCATTACTTTTTATTGTAACACAAAGCGCACATACAGAAAAAAACCCCAAACAGATATTTTGCTTTAGTGAGTTATCAGGTGAGCATCTTTTTTAAAAAAAAACTGATTTTAGAGGGAGAGGAAGGGAGGGAAAAAGAGAGAGAAACACAGATCAGTTGCCTCCCATATGCACCCTAACCAGGGGATTAAACCCGCATCCTAGCTATGTGCTCTGACTGGGAATTGAACCCGCAACCTTTTGGTGTGTGGGACGATGCTCCAACCAGCGGAGCCACCCGGCTAGGGCCAGGTGAGCATCTTGTAGCTACTACCCAGGTCAAGAAATAAAATGTGGCCAGACACCCTAAAAGCCCTTCCACATGTCCTGTCCCCATCAAATCTCTCTCCGAAAAGAGCAGGTACTGTGACTTTTACAGTTATCACTTATGTATCTTTATGGTTTTATGTCCAAGTACCTCTTTGTAGACATTACAGTTTAGTGAGATTTAATTTACAGCCCCCCTCCCAGCATCCCTTTCCCACACAGTTTATTTTTGAAGAATCTGAGCTTTTTAACACAGGCTTTGCATATTTCCTGTTTCCAGTGGAGATCCTTCAGAGTTTAGTGAGTGGAAGCCTGGGAGGCACACTCGGGCAGGCTGTCAGCAGCCCTGCTGGGCAAGAAGGCATCGTTGGCCCTGTTTCCTTGCCCCGGAGAGCGGAGACTTTTGGAGGGTTCGACAGCCATCAGATGAATGCTTCCAAAGGTAAGGAATGTTGAATTTGTGCTTTTAGTGGCAGTCCTCGCCTGTCACACAGAACTAAAAAGGGCCTGTACTCAAGTAGCTCCATCTCATCTGTTTCAATCCATCAATAAATGTTTTAGCAAGATCCTAATAAGTATCCAGCTGCCAAAACACTAAGAACCTCTATCAGTGTCATGTTCACTTTGAATAGTAATGATATTCCTGGGACTGCAGCTAAGCTGTAGCTGAAGGACTAATAACACCTGTCCTTCTGTTTGCTTTGGCTCTTCTGTGTCTGTAAAAATGATTAGTAAGCACTTAGCTGCCTCCAGCAGCTTCCCGTTCGCTGGCTTTAGTGGGATTCAGAAATATATTCCTAAGCTCTTTATATTGTATTCTTTTCTTGGCGAATCTGTTTTACAACTTAAAAATAAAATCGTTTGTTTGTGTAGGAGGAGATAAGGAGGAGGGAGAAGACGGCCAAGATCTTCGGAGGACGGAGTCGGATAGTGGTCTGAAAAAGGTATTTTTTCCTAAAATACACTAAGACCTCCTCTGCACTTCTCTCTGAATTCACAATCTTTGGAACTTGTCCACTTTGATCTTGTTTTGGATGCCTGGCTTGCTGTTTTTATTTCCTACTGTATTTTAAGAGGAAAGACATTTTTAAAATAGTACAACTAGGGGTCCCCATAATACCAGCCACATGGCCTCTCAGGCTTAGAGCTTCGTGTTCACATTCATAGAGCGTGTTGTTCACATACCACGGCCCTGGCAGGACCAGTTTCGTCAAGAGGTTTGTTTAAATGGCCCAAACCAACCTGAACTCTTTACAGGGCTTGAGTAACAGCCTCGAATCTTTATTACCGTGCATCGAGAGGCTGTAGTAGGACAGGACGAAACTGGGACCGCAGCGTAGCCTGGGCACACGTCGGGTATAATTCCTGCCTCAGGAGCTTCATATCTTTAAAATGCATGGTTTTTGTTTTATAGGGTGGAAATGCTAACCTGGCATTTATGCTTAAAAGGAACAATGAGGTAAGGACATTATGAGCTATTGACAAGTGTGATTTTATTATAATTGCTAGGTTAGGAATACTCCTTTTTTTTTGCTGGTATAAAGAGGCTGGCTCCTGACTGTGTTCTGCACACTTCACGGGCAGTTGTCATGCCCTCCGCCCACCTTCCCCCGCCCCAGGCTCCACCTGGCATTGTGCCTACAGGGACTCAAGTTTTCTTCCTCGAGCACCACTTTTTACTCACCATGTGTGTCCCTCTGAAAGTGGCCTTGGGGTCCTGCTTATTAGTGCAGAGATCGGACTCTGATTCGAGTCTTCTCCACCTTCCTTCAGCTGGGCCCACCCATCCTGCAGGTTCACTACACTTCTCTCACTGGCTCCCCCTCTCCCTGGAAGTCGTCCTTGAGGTTTCCATTCCTCCAAACTCGATTTGCCTCTGAGTGTGTGCTTCTGTGTGTAAGTGGACTGGAATCATGTACAAGAGTGGCCTGGTAGGGGTGTGCCTCTCACGATCTTCTTTGTGTTTCTTCTGACTTTCAATGTAGTATCTTATATCCCTGAGGAGCTTTGTTTTGACATTTTAAGTTGATGGAATCGTTCCTCTTTTCCTCTAAAATAGAGAGGGATATTGTTTTCTATTTGTTGGCATGGAAGCCCCCATACTGTGGTCTCCTGCAGGAAGCCCCTGCAGCGTTTATCCTTAAGTGAAATAGACCTGCTCGCACACAGACTGTTGCTCTTGGTGTCCGCTGCTGCTTAAAGTTTAGCTCTTTGTTGAATTTTCCATTTGGTGACTACAGCCTCTATGTTCAGTGAGAAGAGTCAGGTAAGAGAGAGTTCAAGACCCATGTTTTCTAGGCATTTGAGCAAAGATTACATACTCCAGATGCTCATCCAGACTTTTCTCACTCTCTCTTTCTCTCTGTTTAAGAATAAGCTTAAATGGGTAAAAAGTATTCTCAGAAATGCTGAGCCTGAGAATTACGTTTTTTTTGTTTTAAGTATTATAAAAGGAGTACATATTCATGGTGGAAAATTTGAAAAATGTCCAATAACATACACACATGTGTATATATATATATGTATGTGTGTATGTTTACATAATCCCACCATTGAGAAATAACTAGGGTTCAGTGTTTCAGTGCTTCTATTTCTAGCCTTTCCTTCTGCATGATGTGTATTGATGAGTCTTAAGTTTGTGGGAGTGTGAACAGTGTAAAATAGTGTTACACAGCTTGTATCACTACTTCTCGGAGCTTCATGTCTTGCAGCTTTCTCCTAACACACACCAGAAGCATTTCCCCGGGACACGTTTATTCGGACGTGCCCAGTAACAGTTGCAGACTATGGCGTGTGTACTGTAGTCTATTTAATCTCTCCAGTGGTGGCTCCCTACTTTTTTTGCTTCGTATATGATGCAGCTGAGAAATCCTTGTCTAGGCTTCACTTCTCAGCGTGCACACTGCTCCCTCGGAGGAAGGTGATGCCGAGTGTGTTCCGCATGTTGCCAGAGACTCGTGCCCATCTCTCCTTCACCAGCATAAGGGGTTTTCATTTTTTAATTGACATTTTGTTGGCTTGATGAATTCAAGTGATATTTCTTTATGTGGCGTTCATTTAATTTCAAGGCTGAATCCTTTTTAACAGTGTTACGTGATTGGCTGTTTCTATTTCTCCTTTTTTAAATTGAGGTTTGTGTCCCGGCCTGTTTTTCTAGGAGAGCATTCATTTCTCACTGATCTGTGAGAAAAATCAAAGATCTTTTTGTCTGACTTTCTGTTCAGTTTGTCCTTTCTGCCTTTGAATTTTGTACTCTACATAATGAAAGTTGAAGATTTGCGTGTGTGGTTTCCATCATTGCTTCTGCCCTTGAAAAGCATTTCCTATTTCCAGATCAGGAAAACATTTTCCTATTTTCTTATAGCTCTTATATGGTTCTTATTTTCAATTTTGCATTTTAATCTGTATGGATGTTTTTTGTGTGAGCCAGGATTCAAACTTAATTTTTCCCCAAAGATTTAGCTAATTACTTCAGCACATTCATTGAATATTCTCCCCAGTTGACTTAAAAATGCTGCTTATGTCATGTACTAAATCCTTATGATTTGCTTCGTGGCTTTTTGTTCTGTTGGATTGGTAGGTGTGTCACTATTGTACCACTCATTTAAAATAATTGGAGCTTTATAATACATTTTACTACATGCTGATGTCCCTCCTTCATGCACAGTTACTTGGTTTTGTTTTGTTTTTCTTGGCTACTCCTACCCATTTATTCTCTTTGGTGCTTTCTGTTTGAAAATATTTGTTTGAATGCAAGCATCTTGCTGCGTGTTGGGAGACTTTCTGCTCAGATGACAGCCAGTGTGGTGGGATGTGAGGCTCAGTCCTGATTCGAGGTTTCCCTTGTGTTTCCTGTACAGCAGGTCGTCCAGAGCATCGTTCACCTCCACGAACTCCTCAGCACTTTGCAGGTATGTGCCTTTCTCTCTTACCCCTTCACTTCTTTCCAGAAAAAACAGTAAGGAGGGTGGGTATATTGTTGGCCTAGATCTTTGAGTTTGTAGGTTGCTTATGGGTAAATGAAGTCCTCGGGCTGGAGAAGACTGGCTCTTGTGGCGAGGAAGGTCTCAGAACACAGCGGTTGGGAGTACTGTCAGCCTGCTAAGACTGGACTTGATGACAGGTGTCAGGCAGTAGCCCTTACGTGGCCGTGCTACAAAGCACATTAAGCGGTGACATATGCAGGCAACCGTTTCAGCCTAGAAAGGCTTCGGCACGATGAGTCTCCCTGGCCCGTATCTGTGCAGTGAGTGGGTAGCATGGCTTCCCGAACAGCTGCTCGTTAGCACTTTCTGGGAACATCCTCCAGTTCTGCTCACTTTCACTCTTGACCATCTAACCAATCCCATCCTACCTGCTCCCACCTCCAAAAACACACACAGTCCCCAACCCAGGCAATGCCAGTGACTGCAGACACACATGACCAAGTTTGACAAAAAACAGTTCCCTCTCCGTTGACGTCCCTGGTTGATAACTCCCCATGGTTCTCTTGGAGTGTTTTCTCAGACCAGCTTAAAAATGAGGGCAGAGTATAGTCTGTTGGTGACTAGTGCCCCTGGGTATGGGGTCAGGCAGGACAGGAAGTTTGCTGTTCTCCCGGCCAGAGGTGCATCTGTCTCTTCTGGGTGTGTCTCTGCAGGGGGTGGTGGTACAGCAGGACAGCTACATCGAGGACCAGAAGCTGATGCTGACAGAGAGGGCGCTCACCCGGAGCTTGTCCCGCCCCAGCTCCCTCATCGAGCAGGAGAAGCAGCGCAGCCTGGAGAAGCAGCGCCAGGACCTGGCCAACCTGCAGAAGCAGCAGGCGCAGCACCTGGAGGAGAAGCGGCGGCGGGAGCGCGAGTGGGAGGCCCGGGAGCGGGCGCTGCAGGAGCGCGAGGCCCGGCTGGCCCAGCGCGAGGAGGAGATGCAGCGGGGGCAGCAGGACCTGGAGAGGAGCTGGGACGAGCTCCAGCAGAAGAAGGGCTCCTACCAGCATGACCTGGAGAGGCTGCGCGCTGCCCAGAAACAGCTCGACCGGGAGCAGGAGCAGCTGAAGCGGGACGCGGAGCGCCTCAGCCAGAGGCAGGTGGACCGCGACCTCTGTCGGGTAAGGAGGGCCAAGAGCAGAAGGGGTTGGCTGTACCTGGTGCTGATACAGCCAGGTGACAACTGACAACATGAAGAACCCTCTGTGTTCTAAGCGCCAGGAGAGTAAGTGGAGATATAAAGGCTGCTGTTCTAGAATCTCCTTTTACGTAGAAGGGACAGGTGAGGGAAGTGGGTCCTTTTCTCCTTTTTCGTCTCCAAGACGTTGATGAGGAAGGTAATGATCACGCGGAGCTGACGGGCATGTCCTCTGCGTGTCTGAGACAATGGTGGCCAGCCAGCTGGTATTTCAGGGGAACCCCTCTGCTCTGTCCCACATGAGAAATCAGAAAGGCCCCGCCTAAGGAACCTGTGGCCGACAGAGGAGACACACACCCACACACCCACCAAGGATAAGTGACCACGCCATGCCGGTCAGCATGAGGTGGCAGTAAATGGCTCTGATGGGCATTTTCTGAAAGGACCCGGTGGTAGGCTCAGAGGTGTCAGTTTCAGGGAAGACCCCACCCCTGGGAGGGAGGCAGCCGCTCTTCTGCAGAGACAGTAGCCGCGCTTGGGATGCCGGCGAGAATTTCCTTTTTCTGTAGCTGCTGCTCGGGGGAAGAAGGCTTTGCCTTGCGTAGCACTGACTCCCAAGCTCTCAGTGGGGTGGGCTCTGTGCTGATTCTGGAACGCGATGCTTGGGCGGGTGGAAAGCCTGGGCGTGCACAGATCGCCTGTTAGGTGCTCATGTCATGTTGCCATTTGATTGATGGATCGACTTTGACCATGAAAGAAAATAAAACTGACAGCTTCTGGAAGGGGCAGTTCTGCTCCCTGCAGAGGTTGCCACGTGTGGGGAGCAGCAGTGGCTCTGCACTGCTGTTTTTGACACAGGGGGGTTCCTCCCTCTCCCAGTCCAGGCAGTGGGTCTTCCACAGACACAGCATGGATTAGGCTGTCGTCATCTCGCTTTACCTGACTAGAATCTTGGTGTAAACTCCACTCTCCATCTGCCTTCTAACCTGAATAGGCTTCTAGAATCTCTTAGTTCTGAAATAATTACCTATATCCCTGTATAAATCACTCTTCAGACCAGCAGCTCCCCTGTTTCTTCTGGGAGTGGGAGATCTTTTTTTAAGCTGCCTCCCCTATTAATTCTTTTTTTTTTTTTTTTTTTAATATATCTTTATTGATTTCAGAGAGAGGAAAGGAGAGGGAGAGAGGGAAATAGAAACATCAATGATGAGAGAGTCATTGATCGGCTGCAGCCCGCAACCCGGGCATGTGCACTGACCGGGAATCGAACCCTGATCGCCTGGATCCTGGGTCGACGCTTAACCACTGAGCCACTGCCGGCCGGGCCTCACCTATTAATTCTTTATGATGCAGACATTAAGTGCATGAAGTAAAAATAGTAATGGTGTCAAAGGTGATATTTTTGACAGTTTCATAGATACTGCTTGGGGGAGGGCAGTAAAGGAGTTCCGAGTCTCTCTACATTGAGGACTGTGGAGTCCAGGGAAGTGTGTCCCGCCGAGCTGACCCCCCCGGCTGACATCCACCGAGTGGGCGCGGGTGCTGCAGCCTCTGAGTAAACCCCTTCTCTCGCCCATGTGCAGGTTTCACATCAACACACCAAGGTGCTGCGGATCCCCTCCTTCCTCCCCAGCCCTGAGGAGTCCCCCTTGCCACCTGCACCTTCGATAGCCAAATCAGGGTCGTTGGACTCAGAACTCTCAGTGTCCCCAAAACGGAACAGCATTTCTCGGACGCACAAAGATAAGGGGCCTTTTCACATACTGAGTTCCACCAGCCAAACCAGCAAAGTGTCCGAGGGTCCAGGCCAGACCCCGGTGCCCACAGCTGCTCCCTCCCGCCTGTTTGGATTAGCGAAGCCCAAGGACAAGAAGGAGAAGAAAAAGAAGAGCAAAGGAGGCCGCTCCCCGTCTGGTGGTGAGTGTCCCACCGTCTCCCTGGGTCCTACGCAGGGGGGAATATTAGTGGCCTGGGGCAGGTTCATGAAAGGGGCCATTCAGGTGTATAAAAGTCAAACTGTTCTCCTTCTCACCAAACCCACTTGCTGCTCCCGCAAAGGACCGAGGCATCAATGGGGGGGCGAGCACGCCAGCTGCTCAGTGTGGCCCGTGCGCGCAGAGTAGGGGGCAGGGCTCGTTTGTGGGCGTCTGTCGTCTAGTGAAGGAGAGCAGACCCGCCTGAAGGGAGCAAGCCCCGTCTTCCCTGCCTTTCTCAGCCTGTCCAGTAATTGATCCTAGTAACTCGCACTCGGTAAGCATTTCCGAGATCGCGCTGACTCCTGGAAGTGATGTGAGGGAGGCGTTGCTGACTCCAAGGCAGATCAGGAACTTGAGGCTCAGAGAGTAGCCGCCTCGCCTGCTGCCACAGCTTGTGATTAGTCCGCAGCGAGGCCCCTCCCTGGATGCTGCTCCGCTCCTCACTGGGAATGCGCTCCCTCTGGGAGGGGAGGAGACGTTTGTTTCCTGGCCTGTTAGGAGTAGGAAGTCTAGTGCTGCCGCTGAGTTAAAGGAGCAGTGGAGAGGGAAAGATGTCACAGCCTCATTCATGGAAAGTTGTCGGCCCACCAGCCTATCATGTTTGTGCCTCAGAAGACTTGTGTTTGGGGAGGAAAAGATGGAGTTTTTTCTGAATTTCTTTTTCCTTATTGTGTCCCCTTTTCCAGATGGCCCTGCGTCAGAAGTGCCGGCAGAGGGTGAAGAGATCTTCTGCTGACCCCTCTCTCCTGCTGGCTGTGTCATTGACCCCACCTCTCTGGCTGTCCCTGCGTGCTCGCACTCTCATGTTCACATCATGCTGTTCAGGTGTCCCTCCTCCGCACTGCTCAGGTCATGGACTTGAGAAACAGATGGCCCCGAGCATCTGGGTGGGTGGGGAGGCCCCAGACTTACCCACCCTGGTGACTGCCAATGACTCGTGGGTTGGGGCCAGCCCTTCTGTGGATGTTACACTGAGAGTAGTGTCCCCAGAAGTCTAGGTGATGGTTTTGCCATGTCAGGAATTCCTAAAAGCTGAAAGAATGTTTCCAAATGAGGTATGAAATGCTGGCTGCCTTCCATTTTGGGGAACAGAACTGAAAATCCAACAACAGGTAGTGTGGACTTTGTATGTGTGCACATACAGTAACCTGTCTGTGTACACACCTGGAGTCGGCAGAATCACGCAGTCTGTCCCAGAGCACTGCTCAGGCGGCGTGCGGGTGCCTGGCATCTCGCCTGCTAAGTGTCTGTGGCAGTGTCTCTCCCCCCCCCCATTTGCATGTGTTTCTCATTTCATTTTAGAAGGGATGATAAACACTTGTGGAAACCAGTGAGAAAAGACTTGATGTGTTTAAAAGCATATGATCTGTACCATCTTGATTTTGATCTTTCATTTGCCCAAAGAAAGTATCTAATTTCAATAGTCAATTCTGGAAGAAATTCTGCACTGGCTTTCCAAGGTGTTTGCCCACGTATTCTGAGCGCATATGAAGTAGAGATGCCGCCTCATTTTTATCCCTGCAGTGTGACACTTTTTGGTTGTCGCTGACCATTCGGAAGTGGCCATAGCCTTCTGGCAATATTCCTGAGACCTTGCGATGGCTCCGCAAGGGAAGCTGTTCCTGCCTGGGCCTCCCTGTGGGAGACGGTGGCCTCCGTCGGCTCTCCACCCATAGAGGCCACCTGCTTCTGCAGCGAGCTTGTCCCCGCCCCTGCGCTAGGACAGCCGGCCGAGACATAGTCAGCTGAAGGTTTTGAGCACATGTGTAGTGGTTTCCACCAGGACATACGAGCAAAGGCCGGGCCGGGAAGGTTCTCATTCTGTGTCAGGAGGCCTTGGCAAAATTGAATTCCTTACAATTTTTTTTAAAGTCTAAAGGTCTGTCGGTTACTGTTCTGTGCCCCTTGAAGATGCCTCAGATGCTGCCTGTTTTATGTTTTTTCCTTCGCTCCTGCTTTTCCTCTGTTTGGATCTGTGTTTGCCTTCAGCTCGCCACTAGCTGGGAGGAGACGACGGTTCATGGGCGACGTTTTCCTCTGAGGCGCCACACCTGCCGCGCCGGTAGCTCCCCAGGAGGGGACACACTGGGAAATCTGTGCTTTCCATGTGGCCTTTGATTCCTGCTTTCGGCCCCTCAGGAGCATGAGTCTTTGACCATACTTTTTAAAAAACAAAAAATCTGTAACTTGGTGCTTGTTGATGAATTGCAAGCTGGCCTTGCAGGTGGAGATATTTATCTTTCAGTTTACTTGAAAGAGGTCTGGTTTAAAATTGTTAGCTTAGACTTGTTTTATTTATTGTGTGTGTGTGTGTGTGTGTGTCTGTGTGCTAAGGGTGAGCACACTGTCCCAACGGTTCCAACTATCTGATCACTGCGGAGCGTGAACAGCGGCAGCTGCGCACTCCTCAGAGCCTGCAGGGTGCCTTGAAGGCCCCAAAGAAATTAAGGTTCAGGAAGGATTCCTTTCCTTCCCCCCTCCTACCCCACCCCATTCTTTGACCAAGGGATGTCTTTTTGCTTGAGAGTTAAGAAACTTGCCACCTGTAAGGGACATTTGCCTATTTTTATCATCAAGATTTCTTACCCTTCAATAATAGAGTTGAGGAAAAAACCAACTGATTTTTCTCTCAAAATCATGTGTACACCCCCCCACCCCAAAGATCCTAAACAGCAAAAAGCTAAGTTGCTTCCTTCCGCCAGTCCCCACAGCTTCGAGTTACGGCCGTGCCTGCCCTGGCTTGCTTTCCCCGGAGCTGCGTGGAGCTCACTTGTCTGTCCTTCTCACCTGCTGGAGTTACCCCTGTGGCTTCATGTCACACAGAGAGACCGCTCTGCTAGGAAGGAAGGCACTGGCAGATGAAGACTCAGGTTCTTCCTCTGGGTGGATGTGGGCCAGGCCCCCTGTGTTCTGGGCTTGAAACAGGAAGGGCTTCGTGCCGATGAGATTGGCTGTCACACATGCTCCTGCAGAGGCGCCGAGGACACTGAGTTCTGTGTGTGGCTGCCCAGCTTGATTTCAGAGTCCCCGACCCTTGCTTCTCCATGCCTCTGTCATCTCTCCCTTTTGAAATTGAACTTGGGGATTTTGTTGCTGTGCTTGAGGCACTCCCTGGATTTTTGCTGCTGTACTTGTGCTAATGACCTTGAGAACTGCTGGGTCACAGAGTCTAAGCTCTGTTTGGGTTTCTTTCCTGTGGGAAGGGGTTGTCTTCTAGGGTGACTCATTCAGTTCCCTGTGGCGTCCTCAGAGAGGAAGCTATACTTTTCCATCAAGCTCAAGAAACCAGGTGCCCAACAATGTGTTTAAGTTTTGGGGGGACAGGAAGACACCTTCCAGAGTCCCCAGGTTTCCAGAATCTAGTGAGTTTTCTGGAAGGAGGATGCACCTTCTCCCAATTAGATCATCTCAGTAATTGTCATCCTATTTGGGTGACACGTGCACTTTACATGCTGTCTTCAGCTGGCTTCATTTTTGTGACAACTATGTCAACTATTTACTGTTTTGAAAATGGGGGGCTAAAAACATGCAAGTTGCCATAATTCAGCCTTTGCCAACATCCCATCCTCTACCTGCATGACAGTTACCTGTGGGCAGGAAATCTGTATCAAGATTTTTTTGGAAAAGGTACGAATCCTACCTTTTTTCCTCTTAAGTCTCAGGGTGATAACCACTGAAAGTTGTCCCTTTGCTCATTTGCTCCCTTGTCTGTTACCTTCCCAAGCCCCCGGCATTAGCAGCAGTGAGCACAAATGTTTAAGACCCTTGGGGTTTGTTGGACCTTTACTGGGGCAGGGATATAGGGTGTAGGGGTTTAATAAAATAGGCTCTGCCTTAAATAAAAGTTAGAACCATAACCTTAGAGGCCAGAACTTGGTCCAGAAGTTGCTGTTCACAGTAGTTTCTGTTTCAGCCTTTTCTCTCGGAGGCTTTTTTTCCGTAGCTGACTCTTTCTTCCCAAGGATGTTGGTATTGACATTGGAGCAGCAGTGTCCTCCCGTATTGATGGGCTGCCAGAGGTGCCCACAGGACAGCCAAGCCCTGGGAGGGGTTTAGAGAGACGGTCCTGGTGAGTGGGCTCAAGTGGCCGTAAAGAAGGTGGCTTGGAGGGGACAGTGACAAAGGGCATCACCCCCTCCTCTGTCATGTTTGGGTGCCCTTGGAATGTGGAGCCCAGAAATCAGCCTGCAGGGTGAGTGGTGCTTGGCAGAGGTTGAGAGGGAGGTGAGCCTCCTTCAGCAGGACCCTTTGACACACGACAAGGGTCCTGACTGGCTGGGTCCAGCCCAGTGCTGTTGCTCTAACTGACCTGAAGAGACAGGAGGGGGCAAAGAGTTTCTTTCGCATTGGTTCTTCCTTCTTTCAACGTAGCATAACATTCCTAGTTAACCAGAGCTTCGGAGTCTACTGCCTGCTGGCCAGGTTTTAAAATGAAAAGTATTTTAATGCTGCCGTAAAAGGAAAAAAACCAAAACATCTAATTTAATTCGTCAAAAGCTGTCAGGCCTTGGAATTATTTTCTCCATCTTGCTGAGGTTTAAAGATGGGCAGACCCAAGCAGTTCAAGTCTCTCTTGCCACAGACCATGCTGACCTGTTCCAGACACCAGTCCGAGCCCAGCCTGTGCTGGGGGCCTCCCTGCTGTGAGCCGGAGGATCCGGACCTCCGGCCTCTGCGCACCCCGGTTTTCACCGCGCTTGAACTCCTCTGCTTTTTGCAGCCGCCTTACAGGAAGGGCAGCGAGAGCACACTGACAGGGACCCGCCCTGTGGTCACGGTTCAGCCTGTGGTTTCCTGTGTGTCACGTACCCCGTAGGGCACGGCGGATGCCAGGGTATGCAGGAGGGTGACTGCGTACACCTATACCTCTGCTTTCGTTCGTTCCAAATGCTATGTGAACGTTTCTGTGCTCAATCCTATTAAATAAGGGGTTAAAACTCAGATGCTGTATATTAATTTGTAATTATGTATAAAGTAAAGCAGTTTTAAACTGTAAAGATTTTTTTCAGTGTTTTCTGGGACTTTGCCACAACATACTGGCTTTGTATTTTATTTATCTCCCTGTCTAGTTATTGGCTTTAGATTCTTGTAAAGTCCCCCTCAACCTTTTGAAAAAATAAATAGTCTCCAGGTCTCGACTGTGGCTGATGTGTTCCTGTCCGCCTGGGTCCGGGCTTCCTGGAGAGATACCCTGGGTTCCTGGTAAAGGGGGGAGCGCCCGCCCCAGCTGTGCAAGGAGAGCCTTCTCCCCAGTGAAACCAGTTTCTGTGTTGGAGACAGGAACCAGGAGATCCTGAAGCACTAAGTGGTTCCTTAGGGACTCCCACTCTTTCTTACAGCCGGGCCCCAAAACCCCGGGGGTGCCAAGTGTCATAACTCTTTCCAGTTAAATCAGTGTAGTAAAACGTGTCCTTTGACATAGATTCTACTATGTAAAACTATTAATGTCAGTTTGCCTTTGCCAACTTTCCACCCCATCGCACCCCCAAACGGGGCAGCTGCCAAAACCTCATTCCGGAAGAGCAATCTTATCTGCCTCCAGCTCCGGGGGCATTAACTCGATTTGCTCGGAGAGTGCTGGGGCCCCCACCGAGAAATCGCTGAAACACCCCGGCCTGTAGGAGCCCGCGCTGCCTGCTCCTGAGGCTGAGCATGCTGTACCTGCGAAAGGTCCCCGAGTCCCCCGGACCCTGGGGACTGTGCCCCATGATGTCATGCAAAGCTGCCTGGGACCTGCCCCTTGTGAGCTCCTCACTCAGCCATGAAGAAGACGGAAGTCCTTCCAGAGAGCCAAGCATCTTCCCTTTTCCAGTGAACTTGGAAGTGCACCGATTTCTTAGGAGTCTTCTCTCACCTTGGCAACGGCTGTCTCCCCACAAGCCAGTGACATACTGGTCCCTTCTCGCTCACTCACTACCCTTGCCTGTCACTGCCGCCGCAGCAGTCCCCTACCCTCCTGAATGCCTGTCCCACTCAGCAGGCCCGGACAGCAGCTCCCCTGACCTCCCATGGTTGTTGGGTCAGAGCCAGGGACGGGCTCTGCCTGGGAGGCAGAAGCGAGGAGGTCCATCCATCGTTCCAGAGCAGCAGACGCGCAAAGCGCTCAGGGTTCCAAGAGCACTGGACAGCCGTTCGACAGGGCTGTGGGTCCCTCCTGCTCCTGAGGGACACTGCTGTGCCCAGAGCCTCAGCCGCAGTGCAGACCTGCCCACTGAGTGGCTTAAACAGAAGTGGCATTTTCCTGTTTGCGGATCCCATGCCCAAGGGAGAGCCCGTGGTCTACAAATGGCCTTAGATTGGGTGTTGCAGCAAAGGCTGTGCCCGGACAGGAAGTGTGGTAACTAATGCCACAGGACAGAAATCTGAGTCAGAAATAAAAGGAGGCCAACGAGTCCAGAAAAGAGCTTGCAGGGGATGGGAAAAAAAAAACGCAGTGCACAGGTTTTTTTTGTTTTCTGCAGAAGCAGAAACAAGCAGGACTGAGGTCAGCTGAGCTGCAGAGCATCAGAAATAAGATTGGGAACTCCTGTCACTGGGGGCATCAGTCACCTCATCCCTGAGAAGCCTTGGGTCCTGGATGCCACCTTGTCAGTGAGAAGCCCCTCCAAGAGGCCTCCCCCACCACAGTTCCTGTTCTTGGATGCTTAGGAATTCCTTTCGGGTCACCTTAGGATGGTGAGGCAATCCCTGCCCACCCCGTGGGTGTCCTGAGAGGAGGCGCAGTGGGAAAGGGGGTGGGGGCTTGGGAGGAGTTGACGTGCGCCCCAGATTCAGGGAATGTGGGTTGCAGGGCCCCACTGGCTTCCCCGCCCAAGTCTCCAGCCACATTTGGTATCTAAGTTACAGCCTGGCCTGTCCCCAGGCCCCGCTGGCCTCCTTTCATATGCTAATTGCTGCTCTACACAGCTAGAAATAGTCCCCACTGAAGTTGGGACTGCCCCTGCCTCCTGGCACCTTTGTGAAACTTGCCTTCTTCCTGGGAAACCGTATCTGGAGGGGCTGTGGGAAGAGGGTCCCAGGAAGGCCTCCGTGGGAGAGCTGATGGGGGGGAAGGGGAGTGACTTGAACTGGCTCCTGGGAACAGACCAGCTGAAAGCCAGGCCTGCTTTGTTCTTTCTTCCTCTTGCCCCTCGCCTTTGAGGGTTCCTGAACTTCCCACCCCACCCCCAGCTTCAGAGTTGGAGCTGGGCAGTTGCCTGGACAACTTTGCTTTGTCTCTGTGCTCAAAGGAGGGGACACTGGCCACCTGAAACATGCTCCCTGTACCAACTGGAGCGGGGCTGTGGTGAGGAGCTTGGGAGGGGGCCAAGGGGGGGTCCCCCGCCGAGAGGGGGCTGTGGACAAAAGCTGGGAGACCACTGGGTGCAGTCAGCCTCTCAAAAAGTCTCAAAATCAGGAAGCCAAAGCCAGTTTCTTAATTAAGACTGCACTTTCCGCGTAGAAGCTGGGTCCTCTGATTGCAGTAACCATGTCCACAGGGTGGCTGGGGACATGCAAATCCAGGCCATGGAAGGGGGAGGAAGCACTGGTGCCAAGAGGGAAACCGTAGCCTCTGTGCTGAAACTCAGTCGGCTCTGGGCTTCCTGGCAGCCAGGGCTAAAAGGCAAATGTATTTCTAATGGGGTTTCCTTTGACTCCCCCTCCAAAATCTGGACTACTTTCTAGTTAACTTTTCTAACACACGAATTAGCTGGAAGCTTCCATCATGATGGCGCAAAGGAAGCAGACATTGTTGAAGGAAGTCTAGTAACCTCTTCATGTACCTGAGGAGGGAAGGGACCTTACAAGCAAAGTCGCCCGCGTACCAGGAGAGCTGGAACCTGGGCCCAGCCGGCCTCACCCACCTGGGTGGGAGAACACACGTCGTCTGCAGAGGCGCCAGCGGGAGCCCAGGGCACAGCTCAGACTGCTTCTGGGAGGGGATGGCACGGCAGGGACAGTGCTGGCCTGCACGGGGCCTGGACGTGCCTCCCCTGTGCACACATTCTCGAGTTCCCAGTTCACAACAGCCACGAAGGCGTGAAAGGGCAGCAGGTGAACAAGCATTACACGGGCTGTGTTGCGGTAACTACCGGAGTAATTGCGCCCGCCTTAATGTGCTTATTTTCACACAAATGAGTGTCACCTGGGAGCTCCAGCACATTATCAGGGGCATGGAGATGAATGGAATTAATTTTCAAGTGCGAGCTCACGACATGAGTTTTCCATGAGAGTGACTCTCAGGAGAATGGGTAAGTGTCAGGATTCTACAGCAAAAGCCACTGAAAGGCTTCTGGGCCTGAAATAACCTGAATAAAGGGGAGCTGTGACGTGGGAGCCTGCGGGTCCCTGGAATGGGCCTACCCAAGTCCACAGGAGGGGGAGACCCCGAGCCCTGCCTGGTGGGGTGAAGACTGAAGTCCGCCCGTGACTGTGTTCCCCAAGACAGGCCCCCAGAACCGAAAGAAAGCAAGAATGTTCTCAATTCATTTATTAACTCAGAAACAGAAAAAATAACAGTCAGGGAAAGCACCTCGAGGTACTTTATGCTGTGAGGAGTGTGCTTAGCTCAGCTCAGCACCCCACAGGCCCCCGCCAGCCAGCTCCTGGGACTGGAGCCCGTGGCTGCAGGGAGGCTCTGGCCCGAGAGCGTCTGTGGGGGCTGAAGACCGGAGGTGTGCCTTCTGCTCTCAGAACATGCCCGAGTGGCAGCTGGTGCTCATCAGTGGGTGAACATTTGAGTCCCCAAGAGAAGGCCAAAGGACTAGTGCCCACGTGGAGGTCCTGTGAGGGGCAGGGCTGAATCACGGAAAGCAGCTGGCATGTGATGTGGCCCTGCTTTGGTGCCTGGCCCTGAACCAGCCAGGGAGCACTGCGCAGAGGGCAGGCGGGAGCCACAGGTTTTGGCCAAGGCACCAACAGCCCCCTCCCCGACTGGTGGCACATCGGGGTGAGCAAGGGGTGAGCCAGAAACTCTCACACTAGGTGTCAGGGTGGCCGCTAGGAGGTGCTGACCTCTCCAGATGAGGATATGCTGATGAGGGAGGGACCCAGTGACTTGGAAGGTAAAAACGGTGAACAGATGTCTGGCAGTTCTCATGGGACTGTGCTTGCTTTGTGAGCTTGGGGGGCAAATGGGCCAGATCCAGTTACCAGCTGGAAGACCGGGATGCCAGAGGCCAGCGGGTGCTGACTGGGCTTGGTGACCTCATTGCTGGCCTCCACACACAGATGCGTCCTGCACCAGTGGGCACCCTGGAGTCCCTCTGGGTCGCCAGCTCCTATCTGCTGCTCATCTTGAAGGGGAGGGCCACAATCTGAAGATGGGTGTGGTCCCATCAGGAGACTGGTCACTGCTGCTCCTTGTCTTGTACTCAGAGGAGAGGAGGCGATGGGGATGCCCCCAAGGGCATCCCCTTGTCTAGCAGCATATGTCACCCAAGGTCCTGGGTCCTGTGTGGACTGGGCAGGAGCATGTGTCTGCACCTGGGCATGGCCAGCCTGACTGGGAGGTAGCAAGGACACCGAGGGCAAGCCCAGCTCTGGGGAGGGACCCAGAGACTTACTTTTTAACCCGGCTGTGGCGTGGGTGTCATCTGCTATTGAAGCCTTGTGGATGTCACTGAGGACACCCTGCAGGTTTCTGTCCATTATAAAATGTATCCTCAGTTTTCTCCTTGGTAACTTCTGCTGGGTCCTGTTTCCCTGAGACCTGGGATGTCCTCTTTGGGTGACATTAGGACTTGGTGGAACAGGTGACCTCAAAGCTCTGCAAACATGTTTTCCTCCTGGAGTCCGAGAGAGTCCTGGTGTCAGTGCTCGCCCCTCTGGAATATCTTCTCCCCCCAAACCACTGCAAAGTAGAAAAAGCCTCAGGCAGACACACTGGTGCTGGAGACGGCTTCTCTCCTCTTGTTTAAAACTCAGAATAGCTCCCCAGGCCAATGCTCCCAGAGCTGGTGGGGTCGGCTTCCGGCCACTCGGAGTGCTGGCCCAGGGCTGGCTGAGCTTCCCACCGTGGCGGCCAGGGCCAGGGCCACTGGGACAGGGCTGCAGCCGTGGGGCAGGGAGAAACGCGCAGAGCCTGCAGAGCAACAGAGAAGGAGTGGGAATCACGCCCCATCACACGGACGCCAAGGAAGGCCTCACGCTGCCTCGGAAAGGGCAAAGAAAAGCGAGCCCTCCGCCCGGGCAGGCTGGGTCCTCCGGGAAACCTGCGTCTCCATTCATCCAGCAGGTAAGAGGCAGTGCAGCCCCAGGCGCCGCTGCCTCGGTGGCGCGAAGCCCCACAGCACCAGCATCTCCCCTTTCGTTTCTCTCAGGACCCGGGGGCGGGTCTCACCTTGGCTGCACACTAGAGGCCCTGGCTCAGCTGGCCTGGGGTGTGGCCTTTTGTGTGGCAGAAAATGAGTCCTTGTCCAGAAGTCTGGCCTTTGCCCCTGGTTCTGGGAGGTGATCTATGTCACACCTGATAGCAGCGTGTTGGCTCAGGGTGGGGGTGGGGACATCATGTGATTTAGGGTGGGGGCTCTAGGTCATGCTGTACCAGTTGACCTGGAGACAGAGTAACCAAGGGCAATCAAGTGATCCTGCCTAAGTGCTGGGGCCTTGATAAAAACTAGATACGAAGGCTTGAGTGAGTGTTGCTGGTTGGCAACATTCTGTGCGTATCATCGCTCGTAATAAACCATAATCGTGAACATAACAGCCTCAGTGCATTATGGGAGGCCTTCCAGTGATGCGTGAATCTGAGGGTGGTTCTGGGAAGCCCCTATCCTGCAGCTGGTGTCAGAAGTGAGGACACTGTCGCAAGGAGAGAGTGCCCTCAGACTTGGTGGGTTGGCCTAAACAACTCAGAGCTGTGGAAAGCCCCCTGGTGATTGTGATGTGCGGCCATGTCTGGGAGCCGCCTCGCCAGCCTAAGACCGCTGCCCCACCTGGCAGAGGGGTCACCTGCTTTGCTCAAGGTCAACTGCAAGGAAGGCGCAAAGCCAGGCTTTGGCTCTGAAAAAGGGTCCCAGAGCCCCCCAGTCACCTGCTGCCCCACCTGGCCCTCCCGGGAAGCCACTGACCTCTACCCGGAGTGGGAATAGGCCCGGGTGCTAAGGGCTCACCTGGCTCTGCAGGTGCTCCTCAGGCAGGCAGGTGCTTCCAGGTGCTGACGAAGGCCGTCGGGATGAGTGAGTAGGGCACGGTGGTGATGCAGCTCCACGTGTCCGCAGTGGGGTCATAGCAGTCCAGGGTCTTACATCTCTGGGTCCCGAAGTAGCCCCCCACCACATAGAGCTTGTTGCCTGTGGCCAGGGCATGGCAGGACATGCGCTTGGCGGTCATGTCCCCGATCCTCGACCATTGGTTGGTCTCGCAGTTGAAGCGGTAGGCGGAGGCGGCCGTGAATTCCGTGTCGCCTCCCATGATGAAGATCTGGCTGCCCAGCACGGCAGCGGCTGTGTACCGCCACGGCTGGGGGCACTCGGCCTTGATCGTCCACCGGTTCTCCGAGGGGTCGTAGCACTGGACTTTGGACACCATGTCCCGGTGGATGCTGGTCCCTCCAAAAACGAAGAGCTTCAGCTTGGCGCTCACCACCGCCGCGTTGCTGACGCCGTCCCTCAATGGGGCCACCATCGTCCACTTGTTAGCCCCGGGGTCGTACTTCTCCACCTGCTTCAGGGACACAGAAGGGGAGGCTGGGAAGACGCCTGCCAGGGACGTGTGTCCCCCTACCACGTAGAGACAGTTCTCCAGCTCGGCTGAGCCGTGGCCGAAGCGGGCAATCAGCATGGGGGCCGCCTTGGACCACTCTTCGTGGACAGTGTCGTACACCCACACGTCCTTGGAGACCCCGTTCTCGGAGCCCCTGCCCCCGGTCACGTAGACCTTGCAGCCGATTGCCGAGGCGCTGAACTCCTTCCGGGGACTGGGCAGGTCCGCCTTGGGGATGATCTCCTTGGCCTTGTGGTCCACCTGGTAGATCTTGTCGCACATGAAGGTCTGGCCGCCCAGGATGAGCAGCGTGTGGCCCGCCTTGCGTGGCCGGGCGCAGGGGCTGGTGACCACGCCGTCGTTTTGCAGGATCTTGGTCTTGCAGTGGAGAGCCTCGTCTATGATGGGCTTGGTGTGCTCGTCCGCCATGAGCAGGGCCTCGCTGGACATGGCCTCCTTCAGGCAGTCGGACGGCAGCAGGGCCAGGCGCACGCTCCGGAGCAGCTCGGGCAGGTGGGCCTTCCGCCCCTCCAGGTCATGCTTCACCCACTGGAGGATGGCCTCGAAGACCAGCCGCTCGTCCTCCGTCTCCAGCTCGTCGCTGGAGATGAGGTCCAGCAGCTTGTCCTTGGACAGGCTGTTGAAGTCCTCGCTCTGCCGCACCGTCTCGAAGTGCACCAGGCACATGCGCCAGGAGAACTCGTACAGCCGGCGGCACTGGTGGGCGTCCGACAGCAGCATCATGCCCAGGCAGTTGGAGGGGACCAGGTTCTTCTCCAGGAACTCGGCGGCCGCGTCCCGCACGTCGTGGAACTGCAGCATGTCACCTGCCTCCAGCAGCGACTCGGCGTTCTCCTCATTGATGACGATGCGGGACGAGTAGGCGAAGTCCAGCAGCAGCTCCAGCACCTCGGGGTGCAGGTTGTCCTGGAAGTTGACCGTGTCGTCCCGGCTCTCCCGCAGGCCGTGACTGAACATGGCCTCGAAGTAGCGGCTGGAGGCGGCCAGCACGGCGCGGTGGCAGGGGAAGGCGCGGTCGCCGGCCCAGAGCGTGACATCCGTGAACATGCAGTGCTTGCGCAGCGTGTTGAGGTGGGCCAGCACGCAGTCGGGGTGCGACGCCTTGTGGAAAAGCGTGATGTTCATGGACCCCGTGCTGCTCCGCGACTTGCGGGTCTCGTGGACACTGACCGACATGCTGATCCAACCTGTGGGGACAAGGCCACAAGTGAGAGGGGCCACTCCAGACGCAGTGATGTGGGATGCACAGGCCCTGGCTCCCCAGCTGCCTGACCCTCTCCCACCCCTCTTCTCTGCTCAGCTGTCCCTCATGTCAACTGACCATATCGCTGAGGACCACGCAGCGGCAGAGGCTGGCTTCACCTTGCCCTTAGAAAACTGGTTTTGTTCCCTTGAGTTTGGACCAACTCTGGAACCAAAGGTCTTTGGCCTGGATGTCAGCCACCCCTGGGCGAGTTCAAGCCAGCGTCATGGCAGTGCTAAGTAGCATGTGCCCTTGACATCATCGCAGCCAATGGGACGCTGCTCTTGTGGCCCATCCCACAGCTTAAACCAGGGCCCAGAGAGGCTAAGCGCTGGAGCAGGATTTCCACTGGGGCTGTCCAGTTCCACGCCCTGTCTCTACTCCATTGGCCCAAGAAGACTGATTCCCTCAGGGGGACTTGAAACATTTTCAAGGACTGGGGCCCCCTGCCCCAAGCACAGCCTTGCTCCCCGGGGGCTTCCAGCGGGCCCTGCAGTGAGCGGGGCTCCAAGCCGCGCTGGCCAGGCCCCTCTCATCCCCTTTGCTTGGAAAGATCTCAAGAGCTGCTGGCATAGCCTAAGCGCTGGCATAGCCTAAGTGTTCTCAAGACCTGGGGGTCCCCAGAGGCCTCCTGACCCAGCTGGGATGAGCAAAGGTGTGGGGGGAGGCCAGCTGACCACTGGCTCACCCACGACACACCTGCTCAGTTTGGAGGTCCCACCGGGAAGCCAAGACAAAGGCTCGGGTGACAGTAGGGCCTGCGGAACAGTGAAGCCTCAGCCAAAGAGGCGGAAAAACCTGCAGCCTTTGGGGCCTCGCCACCTGACAGCGGGGCCCAGGCTCCTGGACACTGCGCGCACCTCTCCTACCTCCTCGGACTGTCCTCTGCCGGGCCAGGGACGGGGCTCAGAGTGCTGATCCCGTGAACACAGACACAGCCTCGTCACCCATCTGAATTTGGGAGATTCCAAAGCGCTTTAATTAATTAAAGTGCAGCTGATGGAATGACCCAAGACCTCATTCCACGGTGCTGTGGGAACGAGGCTCGGCCAACAGGCAGGCAAAAAGCACACGTTTCAAGGAAAAGTGATCAGAAACAAACTGAATTCAGTGTCCTGACCCCCAAAGCCTGTGATGCCCTCTTCCTGCTAGTAATAAGGGAGAAAAACCACACAAAAAGTCTTAATTTTAAAAAAAATTTTTAATGGGGTGACATTAATACAATTAGTTTCAGGTGTCCAGTTCTCTAACACATCATCTGTACATCGTATTGTGTGCTCACCACCCCAAGTCAAGTCTCCTTCCTTCACCACTCATCCCCCCATACTCTCTGCTACCCACCCCCCCTTCCCTCTGCTAATCACCATCCTGTTACCTGTGCCTATGAGTCTTGTGGGGGGTTTTGTTTAATCCTTTCACCTTTTCCACCCAGTCCCCCGAACCCCATCCCCTCTGGCAGCTGTCAGTCTGTTCTCTGTCTCTGTGAGCCTTTCTATTTTGTTTATTTTGTTCATTAGATTCCACATATCCCTTGACTTGCTCTGGCTTATTTCATTTAGCACAATATTCTCCAGGTCCATCGATACTGTCGAAAAAGGTAAGAGTTCCTTCTTTTTTATGGCCAAGTAGTAGTCCATGGTGTAAGTGTACCGCAGTGTTTTTATCCACTCAGCTATTAATGGGCACCTGGGCTGCTTCCAAATCTTGGCTATTGGAAATAACGCTGCAGTGAACATAGGGGTGCGAATTTTCTTTCGAATTAGTATTTTGGGCTTCTTCGGGTATATTACCAGAAGTGGGATAGCTGAGTCATAAGGCAGTTCCATTTTTAATTTTTTGAGGTAACTCCAGACTGCTTTCCACAGTGGCTGCACCAGCCTGCATTCCCACCAGCAGTGCCTTTCTCCACATCTTCGCCAGCACTTGTTTGTTGATGGCAGCCATTCATTATGGTTTTAATTTGCATTTCTCTGATGATTAGTGACACTGAGTATCTTTTCATACGTCTGTTGGCCATCTGTATGTTCTGTGTCTATACAGGTTCTTTGCCCAATTTTAAACTGGATGGTTTGGGGTTTTTTTGATGTTGAGTTGTGTAAGTTCATAAATTTTGGACATTAACCTCTTATCAGATGTGTCATTGGCAAGTATGTTCTCCCATTCAGTGGGTTGTCTTTTCATTTTGTTTACAGTTTCCTTTGCTGTGCAAAACCTTTTTAGTTGATGTTGTCCCATTTGTTTTTTTGTTTCACTGGCCAGAGGAGATATATCAGAAAAATACTGCTGAGGCAAATGTCTGAGATTTTATTGCCTATGTTTTCTTCCAAGATTTTTATGGTTTCCAGTCTAACATTTAAGTTAACCCATTCATTGTTTAGTAACATGTTATTTAGCCTCTATTTCTTTCTGTTTTTCAGCTGTTTTCTTGTGAGTGATTTCTAGTTTCATACCATTATGGTCAGAGAGATGTTTTATATGATTTCTATGTTCTTAAATTTCAGACTTGTTTTGTGTCCTAACATGTCGTCTATCCTAGGAAATGTTCCATGTGCACTAGAAAAGAATGTATATTCTCCTGCTCTGGGGGGAAATGCTCTGAAGATATCAATTAAGTCCATCTGATCTAGTGTGTCATTTAAGGCCACGGTTTCCTTGTCTGGAAGATCTGTCCAGTGATGTCAATGGGGTGTTAAAATCCCCTGCTATGACTGTATTACTATCAAGCTCTCCCTTTATGTCCATCAAGATTTGTTTTATATATTTAGGTGCTCTATGTTGGGTGCGTAATTGTTTACAAGGGTTATGTCCTCTTATTGGATTGCTCCCTTTATTACGTAGTGTCCTCTTTGTCTCTTAGTATAGCCTTTGTTTTAAAGTCTATTTTGTCAGATATAAGTCCTGCCACCCCAGCTTTTTTCTTCATTGCCATTTGCATGAAGTATCTTTTTCTATCCCTTTACTTTTAGACTGCAGGCATCTTTCATTCTGAGGTGGGCCTCTTGTAGACAGCATACATATGGGTCCTGTTTTCTTACCCATTATGCCTTCAGCTACCCTATGTCTTTCGATTGGAGCATTTAAAACATTTACATTTAAAGTGATTATTGATAGGTATGTATTTATTGCCATTTTACTCTTTATAACTGTGTCCCTATGTTTTTTTTCTTTTTGTTTTCTTCTTAAAGAAAACCCTTGAACATTTCTTATAATACTAGTTTGGTAGTAACAAACTCCTTTGGCTTTTTCTTGTTTGGAAAGCTCTTTATTACTCTTTCAGTTTTTAAAAGATAGCCTTGTTGGGTAAAGTAGTCTTGGTTGTAGGTCCTTGCTTTTCATCACTTTGAATATTTCTTGCCACTCCTTCCTGGCGTGAAATGTTTCTGTTGAGAAATCAGCTGACAGTCTTTTGGGAGCTCCATTGTAGGTAACTGTCTTTCTCTTGCTGCTTTTAAGATTCTTTGTCTTTAACCTTGGTTATGATGTGTTGTGGTGTGGGCCTCTTTGGGTTCATCTTGTTTGGGACTTTCTGAGCTTCCTGGACTTGTGTATCTTTTTTATTCACCAGGTTAGGGAAGTTTTCAGCCATTCTTTCTTCAAATAGGTTCATAATCCCTTGTTCTATCTCTTCTTCTGGTACCCCTAGAAGGGGTATGATGTGGATATTGTTACTTTTCATGTTATCCCAAAGGTCCTTTAAACTATCCTCATTTTTTAAAATTCTTTTTTCTTTTTGCTGCTTGGATTGGTTTTTCTGTTATCTTGTATTCCAACTCTCTGATTCGATTCTCTGCTTCATCCAACCTAATGTTTATTCCTCCTAGTGTGTTCTTCACTTCAGATATTGTACTCTTAATTTCTGACTGGTTCTTTTTTATGGTTCCTATGTTCTTTTTCATGCTGTTGTAGTCCTCATCATGTTCCTTGAGAATCCTGATAACCATTAAAAAACACACCTCTATCTAATAAATTGCCTTCTTTTACTTTAACTATTTTTCTGGAGAGTTCTCCTGTTCTTTCATTTGGGGCATGCTTTCTTTGCCTCCTCAGTTTGGATGCCTCTTTGTGTATGTTTCTATGTATTAGGTAGATCTGATATGACTCCCAGTCTTGGTAGGGTGGCCTTAATATGTAGTAGGTGTCCTGTGGGATCCAGTGGTACAGTCTGCTTGATCACCTGAGCTGGGTGCTCCAGGAATATCCCTTGTGTGGGTTATGTGGGCCCTCCTGTTGTAATTGAGTCTTGATTGCTATTGGCCCATTCATGCGTGGGGTCAACCCTTGGGCTGGCTGACTGTGAGGATGAACCCTAACCACAGTGAATGAGCTGCTGTGTAGGTGCTGCCCACACAGAGAGTGGAATTCAACACAGAGTGGAATTCACCTCAGCAGGGTCTGGTGCCTGCCAAGATCTCCCTTTGGATATGCCGCCTATGAAGCTTATTGGATCCTTCTCTGATGTTGTATGAAGCTGGCCACTGGTTGTGTTGGTTCTGGGTCCTCTTGGGAGGGACTCTGGTGCAGACCAATGTCAGATATTGCCTGCGACTGGCCCTGGGCAACCTGTTTGGAGCTACAAAGCGATCCACAGTTTATGGCTGCCTCTGCGGAGCCTGTGTGTGTGCAAGAAAGACCAACCTGCACATCAAGGCTGGCATTTACCAGCACTAGGCCCAAGGACTTGAGGCAGGTCAGCAAAAGTCCCAAGGCACCCTGAGATCTGCCTTTGCCTGTCACCACCTGTTAGGTTCAGTCACTGAAAGAGCCTCTGGCACTATTCAAGTTACATGAGATAGGTTCTCAGTGAGTCACCAGGTAGGAGCGAGTGGCATTCACCAGATTGATACAGGTTCAAACTTGGTGCCAGCGCTGGGTCTGAGGCCACTCAGCAAATGTCCCAAGGTATACCAAGTCTAGCTGCATCCTGCTGGGTGCTTGCACAACTTT